CACACCATGCATCGAAAAAACTCCTTGATTCTTGGCTGATAAGATTTGTACCCCCATCACATGACAGCTCCTCTGGGATTCCAAATCGCCTGAACCACCTCCTGAAGACAACTATGAGACGTGCACTTGTGGTGTCCCCTGGTAGATGTTCCACTTCCAACCAACCTGTCAATCTATCGGCGTAGGCAATGTAGTTCTGGCCGTTGAGCTGGAACAGGTCTGCTACGACCTGCTGAAATGGGTACTGGGGGGATGGTGTTGGCATGAGCATTTCTGCTGGGTTGGAAGGGGCACATATCTCACATACCTGGCACTGGCGCCGCTTCTGTTCCACTTCAGCATCAATGCCAGGCCAGTAGACTGACTGGCGTGCTCTGCGAAGCAGAGTCTCTACCCTGATGACCTGCGTGGAGATTAGTGAGCACAGTACGTCTGAGGGCCATGGGGATAACCAGACGTGGTTGTTTCTCATCATTGGTGTACAAGATAAGATTTCCTTGGCATGACAAGTGACGACGCATCCTGAAATATGGCCGTAGAGCAAGCGGCTCCATGTCCTTGCGGTCAGTCCAGCCCTCGTTGGACACACATTCATGTAGCAACCGGTATTCTTCATCCTTGGCTGCTTCCTCTTCGACCTGTTGGATGTCCACAACACGTCCTCCATCACCTTCAACTGCTTCTGATGCAGCTGCTACTATGGTTGCACACACCAGTTCATCATCGGCTTCATCGGACTCCTCTGGGTGGCCCAACAGCATTGGTACCGAGACAATGCATCTGCCGCACAGTTCTTCTTGCCTTTCTATTTGATCATCTCTCTTTAAGGTTCAAAATACGAGGGTTGTTGATGTCCTTTAGTTCCTTATCACCAAAAATTCTGGTGAGAGCTTTGTGGTCGGTGATGAATGTGAGGTTCCTACAGCCCAGTAGAAAGAGGCGCGCCTTTTTGAGGCACCATGCGATAGCAAGGGCTTCCCCTTCGAGCGTACTGTATTTTTTTCTCGTTAGGTGCCTGCTACCACACAACACTAGTTTCCACCCGCCTGTGCAGCACAGCGGTGACTCCTGAGATATACACTGGCAGTACTGTTGCATGAGAAATCCAATACCCTGGCGACTGTAGTCAGTGAATGCGGCCGTTGGACGTGAGACGTCATAGTAGCGTAACCCTGCAGCAGCCAGCTGTCCAATGGTATCCTTTGCCGATGAAAATATGGCTTGCAGCTGTTCGTCCCAGTACACCGACTTCGCTACTGGCTTCTTTAGGAGCCTTTAAAGGGCTCCATAATGGAGCCACTTGGTTGACCAAACCAAATCATGCACGGACATCGGTTAAAGTGGGCCGGGTAGGCATTGTGAACTCCATAATGCTCCTGACGAGGTCCTTGCTGGGTTGGTATTCTTCCCAATCAAGAACGTACCCAGCGAATGTAACGCTTTTTTGCAGAAGTGAAATTTGTCTGGTCTCAGGGTTACACCATTCTTGCAGTCATATGTGTGCCAGAATGCCTCAGCAATACTCCCGTCTACAACAGCGTATCATCAACACACTTCATCTTTCTGGGCACAGTGCTGATTATGTCATCGAGGCGTTTAGTAAATGCATCCTGTGCAGCACAATGTCCCATGGGAGTTCTACAGTATCTGAATCGACCCCATGGGGTGATGAATGTTGTTAATTGCGGCTCTCCTTGTCAAGTGGTATTTGATGGTACCCAGAGTATGCGTCAGCTACAGTCTTGAAGGTATGCTTTGGCACACTAGTGATGAGGTCAAAGGGGGGCCTTGTGTGGTGTGTTTCTCTCATGCTCGCCTGATTGAGCCGCTGGAAATCGAGTGTCCTACGGGGTCGTCCGTCCTTCTTGGGTACAACCACCATTCGTGTTCCATTTTTCACCAGCTTTCTTCCTTTTTCATTTTGTTCGCATTAACGTGTGTGTGGCACTGTAGCTGGGACATGGACTGCATGTGGGCGTGCGTCTGGACGCAGGTGGATGTGATGTGGCGGACCTTGCATTTCTGGGAGGGGTGCACGTCCCACAGCAAATACCGTGCGCCCAAAGTGTTCTAGGAACCATTTCTCTAGACGGTCCACATTCTCTTCTACCAGCTCGTAAGGTGGCTCTTCTGGACGTGTTGGGACCTGTGGGATGTCTAGGGGTGCTACCGAACAGATGGATACTGAGTGGCATGGGAACTCAGGCGGTACTAGACATAACGACTTACATGCTCCGAGAGACAGGTAGAGACGCTCGACCCCGTTTGCAAAGAAAATGCGTTCATTCGTAGTAACAGGACCCACCACAAGCTGGCAGATCAAGCTTCCAAGGAGACGCACGCCACCCCAGCAACATGATTGACTGCTACAGGTGCTGGTTGTAGTTGGTGCTGCAGGATGCCAAAGATTGTTCAATAATGTGCGCCCTGCCATGGACACCTGGGCGCCAGTGTCTGCCACAGCCATGGTCGAGCACCTGGCGCGAAGGTTACCACAGACAACTATAACAGGCAAGGATGTCAATGTGTCCACACTCCCTACTGTCACTGCACTGGATGTGACAGCACTGCCTTTTGGGGTGAGGGTTGGGCACTGGCGCCAGAAGTGCCCCTGAAGTCCACACGAGCGGCAAACAACCCCAAAGGCACGACATTGGCGGTCTCCTCGACAGTCACTGTCCCCACATCCCCTGCAGCGTTTACGACCACGTCTGGCTCCAGTGTAACGTGAAGATTGCTGGTCGTTAGGTCGACGTGATGCGCCTGACGCTGCTACTTCAATATGTGTGGGGTCCGGGGAGGGGGATGGTGACTTCATGACCGGGTCCTGCATAGCCAACACACTTGCCACATTACCTACGGCACTCCGACCTGCTGTTTTTTCAGCAGACTCTATTACCTCACACGTACGAATTATGTCATTCACTGATTCAAGGCGGGGGATGCACCTTAGCACTTCTGCCTTCATGCTACGGTCGCTTAGACCCATTACCACTTTCTTACCTAACATGTACTCATCTAAGGAGCATCGACACTTAGGGCACTGGAATTTACATTCACCTGCCATGGCTCGACATTTTGATACGTTTGCACATATGGTGTCACTAGGAGCTTGCGAGTATGTGAAAAAATCGGACCATGCACCGACCACACACCGAGGCCCGATCACTACACTTCTTACAGTGTCAACTGCTGCTGTGGTTGATAGTAGCCGGAATTCCTGCCTGTTCACACGAGCGTCAATACGCTGCTGTACCTCGCCGCTGCACAGGAGTCTTACGTAGGAGGCGGCCAATGGCGGCATCCATCCGGAAATGTTGCCGTAGTCCTCCACACTAACGGCCCACGATTCAAAGGCTGACGGCGACATGCCAACGGTCGCTCCTCCTGGCCCTGACGGTGGGAGCGGTGGCCGTTGATTCTGAGCTACTGGCCAAGCCGTCCTTGCCGGGGTCGGGGTTGAGTCAGGGCTGGGTGAGAACTGCCTAGGGAATGCTATAGGAGGCACCAGTGATCTGGCCGGTGACTGCACATGGTCAGCTCTCCCATCTTTTGTTTCACTGGTTGCTTGCACAAATACCACGCCCTCGTTGCTAACGGGCTCCTCCGAAATATCCTCGGTACTCATCCTACTCACTGCGCCATGTAGGAGCTGGAGGTGATGAGAGCAAACGCAGGTATGCGTGTATAAGTTTATTTAGAGAAATTTCAGGAGCTACGGACACCTATCTCGAATGGCGGCTGGCGGGTAACTATCTGGTGCGACTTCATGTCACCAACCAGAGGTAGCATTCGAGTGTGCTGGTAAACACTCATACATAAGACGAATGTAGTGCGTGCATATCCGTATTTCATCTAGGAAGGGAGGGCCATACATAGCTTCAAAATGCTCTAATGAACGCTATTCGTTAATTATTTTTGGTTACGTATTAAAAAAAAAAAAAAAAAAGGAAGAAAGAAAAAATCTTTTTCTTTATAAAAAAAATATAGGTCACTTTCATAGTATCATAACAACTGGACCCAGGTTTTCTCTGGAATTTAGATAAAGGATTGTTCACCAAAATTTCCCTTGAAAATTAAATTTTCATTATAAATTCTTCCTTTTGTAGCAAGAAAAATCAGGCGACTGTAACTATTTATCAGTGAACATTTCATTATACAATTTATAATACAATAGCCCCCATGTCAGTGCTGCTGGGGTCTTCCCCTAGTAATGATTCCCATTTAGTATTCTTTATTTCTACTATGAAAATCTTCCGATTTGTAAAAATTCTAGAGCTTTGTCCATGCACAGCCATATTACATGAATATTATAGATTCTATGAAGGAATTATGCTACGGACATCAAAAAGAGTTTAGCAACGTACAGATGTTGAATTATGTCCATATAACTGAAAGGCTCAAGACTGTACAAATTTTGTTTTCGTATATTTATTGTATATAATATTGCTTAAGAAAGTAGAGTTTAATGTGACAACAGATTAAACGAAATTAGATAAAACTTAAATTATGTTTCTATGACTAAGGGTAATTCAAGCCACCCAACAGGCCTTATGGAATCAGGCTACATCACATTAAATGTTCATATTCAGAGACACTTAACACTTTCTCCAGGGGGATGGAGGACCTCCATCGATTGGTTCAGATTAGTTCTGATTGGCTGCAGCGCCAGGTAGCTCAACGGTGAATGGCTGATGGGTAAAAGAATATGCTTCGTAAGTGGTGTCCGAAGTGTCTCTTGATATGAGAGAAAACCCTAATAACAAAGTGGAGGCTTCTCTTGCGGTTTCTTAAAGATTTAGGATCGCAAAGTTCTATGGAATAAAAACAAATCTAATACGTAGTAGGTCTCGGGCAGATCAGGTAGACTATCCTGAACCATAGCCCACCCCCACCTTCTGAGAATGGGTCCTTATGTCTGTTCCCTTTTGTATTGTGGTCTGGAGTTTTGAGTATACTAAAACACGTATATATTAGAATTAACAATGACTTGATGATACTGAATTCTTAAAGGCCCACTAGAAGATGCAACCTCGTAAGTAGACGCACCCTGAAGTAAAGAACGGTGGTTGAATATCCTACATAATGACTTATTTGTGGGTACAGGATTTTATTGGATCTATTCCAACCACTGGAAAAGATCCAAATCAAATGAATCATAGATCTCTGAATACTGTCCTGATTATCTGTCTAAAGCCTTCAGTTCCAAACATTGGTTCCAATACGAAAAAATTCAGAGCACAGAAACCGCTACGGCCGTGTTCCTTTGCGAGCGGTCGCTGGACTCGGAGGACGGGAGGCACCGGCCAGGCACCAGCGAAAAGGCCCTCTGCAGCGCCTTCTGGCGGAACCGCTGGTTCAGACCCACGAAGACGAGGGGGTCCAGGGCGAAGTGGAGGCGGTAGATGGCGTGGACGATCACGAAGAAGGCTCCTTCCAGCTGACGTTCATGAGGCATGGTGACGTGGGGGAAGTC